CGACGACTGAGGGGGGTGACATGATTGAGGTTTATAAGATTATGCATGGCATAGAGCAGGTAGAGAAAGAGGTACTTTTCTCCCTTTCTCACAATACAAGAATTCATGGGCACTCAATGAAATTGCTGAGCGGTCGGGTTAGAACGGATAAGAGGAAGTACTTCTTCACCCAAAGAGTGATTAACACTTGGAATTCACTGCCACGGGAAGTGGTGGTGGCAGCTACAAGCATGGACGGCTTCAAAAGGGAATTAGATAAGCATATGGAGCAGAGGTCCATCAGTGGCTATTAGCCACAAGGTATAGATAGGGACTCTGGGGCAAGTGATGCTCTGTCTTCTTGGTGCTTTGGGGGGGGGTCAACAGTGGGAGGGCTTCTGATGTCCTGGCTCCACTGGTGGACCCCCTGATGGCACCTGGTATTTTTGGCCACTATGAGACAGAGTGTTGGACTAGATGGGCCTTTGGCCTGATCCAACATTGGCATCTCTTATGTTCTTATGTTAGTATTATATGCCTCCGATCTTTGAAGGTCTCATCCTCTTTAGTCTTGCTTATGAAATAGCACATGAAGTCCTGTCTCACGAACTCAGTCAGGGTTGTCTTGTATCCAGCCAATGTCAAAGTCACTGAAGAATCTCCAAAGTTACAGCTGAATAAATCTCTCATTCTGAGTGTCAAGTGTTGAAACAGTCCCGGCTGTCACATCATCTGTGCTTGGTCATCTTGCACTTCAAGACAGCATTCTTGAAGTAGACAGCATTCGTGATCTTTATCTCTAATTGTAACTTACAGAGATCCCAATATTCATCCCATTCTTTATCTGGCAGCTGCAATATATTTCCAAAGGCATTTTCCTTCTTTTCCATCGCATTTGAAAAGGCTATTGCACTCCTGAACAGGTAACCTTCACAAATCAGTGAGCTACGCAGGTAGAAAAGTCACGGTCGCCATTTTACCTCCACAAGCCTGTCCTCCTTACCATAAATCAAACCAGCCACTTTAAAAGTAAGATAAGTCTCTGTAGAAGTCTTTTTTCAGCTAGCAGATAGCAGATTTCAGTGCAATGTTTAAAAATAAAGAACTCCCCCGAACTCTGCCAAGCCGCAAGCGCAGGAGTCTCCAGCTCCCTTTGCCTCTGGGGAAGATTTATGGGGGCAGTCAAATGTTCTTTTCCAAGTTTGAAGTTAGTAAAAAAGCCAAAAATACTCACTAATTCTTCGCCAAGGATGTTAGTGACAAGGTATGGAAGCCCTTGTATGGGGTTGTTACAACTTGCCAGTCATGCTAACACGGCTGGTCTTTTGGAGCTTCTGCTTCAAGACAATCTGATTCCATCTCCCACTGTTGCCACAAGCAGGGGGCTCCTCAGATAAAAGTCTTCTGCCGCCAGTTTCCTACACCCGAGGTACTGGAGAGACTCCTGACCCATCCGGTGTGTCCGGAAAGGTAAAAAAAGTCTGCTCAAAAGCTAGTGAAACTCAGAGAGAGCCCTGATTATTCAACTAGGTCGTTGCACCAAAGCCCCGCCTCAAGTTGTTTTGCCGCTGCTGATGGGACCTTGCTGAAAAAACGTTCCTTGAAACTTGACTTTTAACTACGTAACAGGATTGCTTTTGATTGCATTGAAGTATTTTCCTCTATAAATGAGAAGTTTTTGGGGGGAAACAAAGAATTAGGGTCATTAGTTTGAAATTGATGAAGCCCTTAGACTAGGTTATGTTGGGCTGCGGTCACACGCAACATTAGCCACGCAAGAGATACGGAAGACAGGCGGAGTTTCCGGTCGCGATCTCACCAGCACATCTGGGAAGCATAGCACTTCCGTGGCACAACCGAGGCTTCCTGCCGAAAAAGCGCAGCAAAAAACTAGTACCTCGGAGGTACTAGTTTCCGGAAACTGCGGGGCAAGGGCGGGCGTCTGATCGCGTTTCCGGTGGCATCCGGCGCCCGCCCATGTCCCCTTGCGGAAAAGGGGTTCCCCCCCCCCAAGTCTCCGTGGATGCGCACACGCACCCAACGGAGCATGCGCATTCGTAGTGTACACAAAAAAAGAAAACCAGTTCGCCGCGCCGCGCGCTTCTTCATTGCGCACAGGCGTGTGTTGTGATCGGCACCTCTCCCTACCCACGGAAGCTCCACAGTACCTCCACAGAACCTCCACAGTAGGTCTGATCGCTTTACTGCATGTTAGTTTGCCCCGGGGCAAACAGCCACACTTCTCCTCCGCAGTTTCCTGCCCGTGTGACCGGGGCCTTGGTTAGAAATCCCAGTCAGTTGCAGAGCTGAAGAGACAGGATAATTAGAGAGTTGCACTTCGAAAGTGTAATGATGTTGGGGAGAAGGAAAATACACACTTTGCAACTTGACTAACCATGTTTTGACTTTTTTGCATGAATGTAGCGGCTGCGTTTCAACAAGGGAAAATCCCACCCACTCCATTCTCTGCTCCACCTCCAGGAGGAGCTATGATACCACCACCACCCAATATCCGTAAGTGACTGTTGATGTCTTATCTCTGACTAGTATGAATATATGATGGATGCTTTGATGTATGTTCAAGGAAAAAAATCTAGGGTTTTCTTGTGGGGGGTGAGCTGTCGATTTAATAGCCATCCACTAGTAGTGAAGGGGATTACCTTTTCCAATAAACAGCCCTGTTGATTGATAATTTATAGTTGAGGAGCTGTCTGTAATGCACGCAAAGTTGGTATGCAGCCCTGTGTCTTAGGAGGTGCTAAAATGCCTTATTGTCTAGAACGACAACTGTAAGACTTTTGTTAACAGACTAATAAGCTGTAACAGTAGGTTCTATATATTTGAGATCTGCAGATCTGTTTTGACGTATTTGTCCTTTGTGCCATACTTCAGCTGGTCCTCCACGACCTGGTATGATGCCAGCACCCCATATGGGTGGACCTCCAATGATGCCAATGATGGGTCCACCTCCCCCAGGAATGATGCCAGTTGGACCTGGTAAGTTTTAGATTACCTACACTGTATTTTGAAGTCATGTGCAAGAGAGTATCTAGTCTGCCAATTCTCACAGGATTCCAGGCAGCTTTCATCAATCAAACCAGGCATCTATATATTGGTCTAACAAAAGTGAAAGCTAAAACATCTGTCTTAATGTTAAGCATCTATTATACCAATCATTAATTTTTTAATTAAATAGACAACTCCAAGCTTTCCTGGATGAGGCAAATTGTTTAGATCCCTTGCAGTCTTCGTTTAGGTCTGGTTATGGGACTGAAACAACCGCGGTTGCCCTGGTGGATGACTTGTGCTAGGAGATGGACAGAGGGAATGTGACTGTTGATTCTGCTGAACTTTTCAGCAGCTTTCGTTACCCTCGATGATGGTATCCTTTTGGACCGCCTATCTGGGCTGGGACTGGGAGGCACTGTACTACCTGGAGGGTAGGTTTAAGAAGTTGGTGCTGGGGGAGTGCTGCTCAGCCCCTTGGCCTTTGGCTAATCCACTAATTATATTCCAGTGCAACAACTCATGAAGAGTTAAGGTCCCATTTTAAAAGAAAAGCTACCTGCCAAAATGTCTATCCTACACATTTAAAACCCTAGAGTTTATCTCTAGCCCTTACTTGTATCTCTCAGCTTTTATGCCTCTTCTAGAGTTCACAACAGGATCTCTCTTTTGGCTTTCTTGGAAATTTGCTCTGGTAGCCTCTCACCGTAACAGGCCCAGACCTTCCCCTGCTCGATAGAACTCTTGGCCCACAGACACACCATCATTCACAATTATTATATACTGGCTCTTGCCAGAAAATAAACATGGCCATAATGCAGAACGAGGCCGCCATGTCCATGTCACCCATTGCCTATAATATTTTCTTAGACATTTAGCTTTTGTCCTGTAAGGCTTACTCCTTTGTGTTGGGATAAAATAGAAACTTGTCCAAAGAAACAGATGGCTTTTTTCAGTATGATTTTGACCGAAATTTAGAACTTTAAATGGCTTGGTGCATTTACTGTGCTTTAAATTTATTCCACTTCCCATAGCTCCAGGAATGAGGCCGCCTATGGGAGGACACATGCCCATGATGCCAGGGCCTCCAATGATGAGACCTCCATCCAGACCTATGATGGTGCCAACCAGACCAGGAATGGCTCGTCCAGATAGATAAAGTGGAAGGGGACTCACCATGCCTCCTCTTTTATTTTATGTATGCTCTTCTGTAACAGGCCCAGGAGTTGCATTGTCCAGCATACCACAAAAACCAGCTTGTTTTTTAAAAGTCTGCAGGATCAGTGTTTGTGTCTACGGGAGGGGAAAGGGACAAGTAGGAGTACTGGACTAATGTTTTGCAACTGATTTCGAATTCATTTGCTTGTGAATTGTTGGAATAAAATGTGCATACTTGTTATACACAGTCTTGGTGTTTGTTATTCCACTCTCTACAATAAGATTAAGCCTAAGAATTGCATACCAGATTTCTCTTGTGGTTGAGAATTCTCCACTGCAACCAGTTATTCCGTCCAAATAATCCCCATCATCCCTTCCAGCCCATGCTGCTGTTGGTCTTCCTTCCCTCTCCACACTGTGTGGCTTCTCCCTGCCGTCACCTCTGCTGCTGTTGTTTTTCCTGGTCAGCCCTGCCCACAATCACTAGTGATCTGCTACCATGGAGATTCCATCCAGTTGTGTTCTTAGCATTGTCTGTTTTCCTTCAGTACTTGTGGCTGGACAGTGGGGGAAAAGGGAAACAGATCTCTGTTGCAAAGGCCTTTGAGGTGGCACTGTCTGGGAGCTGTACTTTTGAACAGCTTGAGAAAGTTAGGTAGTTCCTGAGCACAGTTTGGCCACCAAGGCTATATAAGAAGAAAGGTGGTTTATATTCTTTGTAAACCAATGATAGAAATATACTTCACTATTTTGTTCAATTTTTCCATGGGATATATCCAGAGATGTCTCAAGTTGCAGGTGAAAACGGGTTTTTTTATAAATTAATGTGATGAGCTTCACCACTCTAAAACTATTTTTACCCACTGAATGAACTGCACACACTTGATTGCATCAGCAGTCTGTTTCTATGTCTTAAATGAACATAAAGGTTAAAGACGTCTACACTCCTGAGAATGGTGGGTGTAGAAATGTGTTTCTCTTACTTGTTGCTTTTGATTGTATTTTGCAAGGGATAATGCAAAGCCAGCCTTACGTTTGTGGAGATAAATGAAGTTACCAGGACTGTTGTGCTAGAAATTCTGAACAGCATTAAAGTTCCTGGATGCATGAGTACGATTCTTTTGCAGTAAAACAACTACTTTGAGGCCCCACATTGAGTACCCTGTGAGGCTGAAACGTTCTACAGCTTTCTCAGTCTGGTGATTTTAAAAAATTTAATTTATTATTTTCTCAGAAAAAGGGTGGGATACAAAAGGGAAAAGGGGGTGAGGGGAAAATATAAATTCATCAGGTTTGTCAAATATTATAAGTTGTTCTGTACAACAGGTAAGATCAGATGTATTACCAAATATATATTTCAAGTGTAGAAGCATTCAAGGTTAAAAAGTAATTCGTATAGCATTACCTGGCTCCCAACTATCAAAAAGAAAATCCAACACTTGGGTTTTTCAATTGATCCCCCCTTTAACAAACCTGCCATCTTTTGAACCATTAAGCAAAGGCTTCTGGACCTAGAATTTCATAAAGTAAATCCTTTGCAGCCTTATTTTTCTTCTCAGGCCAAACTAAACCTTTCTAATTCAGCAAGGAAAAATGGCCAGTTACCTTTACAACCTAGATCACCCTTGTCATCGTAGAGCTTTTACATTAGCACGACTAAATATTTTTCTTTCAAAAATATTAACTGGTCGGTATAACAGAGTCCCTTTCCATGAAAGGAAATGTATCTGTCCTTTAAAATTGAGAGATTCAATCCATCACATCATGTTGGACTGCCAATTGCATGCGTAAGAAGCTCCTTTCCACTATACCCTAAAGATTGTATTGATGACAGAATAATACAATGTTTATTAAATGACAAACCTGGACATCACAGCTTGGTTGCTAAATTCTTGGCTGAAGTGGTCAAAGAGACAAGCTCTCTATGATTAGCCTTATTTTGTCATCTCTAATACCTTGTTGCTCATATTTTATCACACTGTTGGTTTATTATGCCATTAAAGATATTTTGATTGATATAGAAGCAAACATTAAAACATCAGTATTACAGAATTTTGGGATAGATTCTCTCTTTAAAGAATAAGCAAGAACTTTCCTAAGGTTAGTGATAATCTATTAATGATAAAAGAAATTACATCTTTAACAACTGAATTAATTTCTATGCTAAAATTAAATCCTTTGTAAAAACCTTAATATTGTCTTAGTTTTTTACCTAAATCTAAATTTTATTCATACTAATTATTTCATTATTAGTGGAACACAGGATAAAGTATTGGACTATAATCAATATCTTCATCTTAATGTAATCTTAATATTCAGGTAACTCCAGAACTTTAAAAAAAACCCAATTGTTTCCATAGTATGAGTAATTAGCTTGCCATTTGTTTATATAATTGGTTAGTTTTACCAGTGTTGCATACTCAGCTAGTTTTTCTTTCCAGATCTCTATTGTAGACAGTCTGGAGATGCCAGGAATCGAACCTGGAACCTTCTGCATGCCAAACAAGCAGATGTTCTGCCAGTGAGCCACAGACCCTCCCCACAGCACACCAGTTTTCATGTAGTGAAGGGGTGTGTGTCTCATTTTCCCTTCCCCCACTATTTCCTCTTAGTCTTTCCTGAATGCGCTGATAGGCTCTCCACTGAGGGTTTTTGTTTCCTAAATCTAGGGGTGCTGCTTCTATTATTCTGATGGTGTTTAAATCCCGATTTTATTTTATTTTTAGTATCAGATCTGTCTTCTCTGTCTATGGCCTCAGTATCTGGATTTAAGTACCCACAGATCTAGCCATGTTGAGAATTCGATATATTGATGGCAAACACGTACACGCACTTTCACTTTCTCTCTCCGTCTGTCAATGCGCCAATAAACTTCGAGGCGGCTTTCCGTGGAGGCAAGCAAGGAGACGTTGCTGCGGCGGCTGCGCTCCCGGTGAGCCAACAGAGGGCGCTGTCACACCGCCGTGTTCGCCCTCCCTCCGGAGGGCGGGGGCGCGAGGCAGCTTTGCCGGACTTCGCCGCGGTGGTGGCCGGGATTCCGGCGGAGTCTGAGGCTGGCTGGAGAGGAGAAGAGAACCGGCGATGACGGGAGGGGGTAGCCAGTGAGACATGAGGGAGCTCTTGGGGCTTTAGGAAACCTTCGTCCCCTCCCTGACCCGGCATGGCCGGTCTCATCAAGAAGCAGATCCTGAAGCACCTGTCCAGGTGAGCGTCGCCCGGGTTCGCCTTTGAGGGGTCCCTCCAATAGCAGGGAGAGTCAGAGGAGAAGGTTATGAGGCAGCCGCCGAAGGAGGGCTCCGCGGAGGGGTTGTGCGTCCGGGGCGGGACAAGACGAAAGGGAGGGGGGCTCTGCGACAGCAAAAGTGACTAGGGAAGGGGGACGATTCCCAGCGCCCCCTTCTCTTTCCTTCCGTACCTTGTTTGTTTTCTTGCGGACCATCCCCCCCCTCCTTCCTACTCCATTTGGTTTATTCCTCCCTTGTCTGGTATTTCTCATAGAGAAAGACGCATACACATGTTCTGTCAATTTTTCACCGCCTGTCCTCTACCCTTCCATTGGCACCCGGATAGATCCTCCTGCAGATGTTCTAATTTAATCCCTCTGCTCTAATCCCTTTCCTTTCTGCATTTTTTTAAAAAAATAGTTCCTCACTATGTATTTATACTATGCATTTCTATGTAGTCACTTCCTCTGGGTTCTTCCTCCTCCAGTTGAAATTTGTGTATGAATACCTGACAGTTCTACCTGAGATATTGTTTGCATCTGTGTGTTATTTGTTCAGTCTTCCCATTTGAATATCCTGTTGCCCAGTGGCTTGAACAGTTGACAGAGTTTGCTTAATTGGAACCATGTACTTAGAATTAGTAACATGTAGTAAGGGAAACTTTTAAAAAAGTAGTTACTACCTTTTGGGTGTATAGGAAGGGCATGAGAAGAGGCAGTTAATAGGTGCAATACTTGTTGGTGCAATAAACTGAATAAAAAACACACCAAGAGTCTGAGGAAATTGTATGTTGAGGCAACGAGTTAACATGTTGCAATTATACTAGAGGAATGACTGGAGACTAGGATTGTGAATGAGGAAATGTGGGTTGAGGTCTGGCTTCTGGTATACTAAATTCATACAAAATCTCATCTGTGTCATTTGTGAGTTGCTGATACCCTGGATATTACCAGCGTGGAACCTCTTAGGCTGGGGAACAAGGAAAGAAAAGTACAAATGCAACATAAGGTGGTGATACCTTTTATTTAAGAGTCGTAAAGGACAAAAACATAGAGACAATTAAATTACCTTTGAATTATACTGAAAAATCGGACATGGAGGCTAAACAGCAAATAATAATAATAGTGTGCTGTCAAGTTACAACTGACTCATGGCAACCACAGAACCATGGGGTTTTCAAAGCAAGCAATGGTGGTTTGCAGTTGCATTCGTCTTCACAGCAACCACAGTCTTCCTTGGTGATCTCCTATCCTACTAACTGTGGCTGACCCCCGCTTAGTTTCCAGGCTCTGAGGAGAGAGGGCTATTCAGGCTGCTAAACAGCTTGTAAGAGGCTAATTGTCCCCCAATAACATTTTTCAGTTTACTCAAAGAGACTTTCAGGTCCTTGATAGTGAGATATCCTGGCCCCACATTGCTACTCAGGCACAGCCATTATCCTGTTTCTCTTTTAAAGTAAGTGGCTGTATGCTGTGGTGCAGGAGAAGGGGAGTTCACAGCTGCTGGAGGAAGCGGAGGAGAAAGCTGTTGTCATGGCTGTTTGCCTCAGGCAACTGACTCTGAAGAGCAAGGGAATTGGTTCTGTTGTGCACTTTGGAACCCACACAGGATGCACCTTGTTTGAGAGATGTTCCCGTGATAATGCTGTAAACCACTGGAGCTCATGCTGTGCTAAATGTTTTTTAAAAGATAAAAAGGACAGGTCCAAAACAGTATGGGTTGTGTGGGTGGATGAGGACATTAACCTTAGGCACTACAGGTCAACATTTATTTATTTTACTAAGTGTCTTTGTTGTATATTCCAACTGATTCTGTTTACTAGGGATAGTTCTTATTTTCTGATCCCTGTACTTGATAAATCACTGTTCCATGTTTTGTATTTTGTGGCTGACTTGTTGCTAATACTGTCATTCTTCAAGATTGAGCTCACTCCCCAGTGTACAGTATATACAGCACAATCCAATGCATTCTTACTCATTTCAGTG